GTACAGGGGATTTTTCAGTTTAATTTTCATACTTAAAAGTCGGAGTGATTAACAAAATTGATCTTTTCTTCTGCATGCTTCGCTCCAAAAATAAATAGTGTGTAGGTCAACTTGTAAAGAAAGATAAGGAAAACCAAGGGTTGATTAACCGGGACTGAATGAACTCCTCCAGTGGAAAGAAACAGTGCTTCAGGTTGCTCAGAATACGAAGACAGAGACAAGTAGACTCTCCTGCTGCTTGGCCCGTCTGACTAGAAGTTTACTTCTTAAGCGCCGATATTCCCCCCCGGGCAACCCACAGGCACTTGACTGTCGTCTGTCCCGGGGGCTGGGGAGTTTGAACTTTGCCTGGGTGGGGTGGGGTAGGGAGGTGACCGGTATTTTCAGCGAAACACACGTATTTTACATCTTACTGCGGAGGTGCTTATTGGTAAAGACTTCATTTAGGCTGGCTGATGACTCATAAGAAAAGGTCTACAAGGTCTAGTCTTTAAAAGGTTGGTCAATCTGTAGAAGCCCAAGGTCACTGATCTTGCCTCTTACAAAAAATTGACCGGCTCTTGGGTGGGCATTTAAATCCAATTTTGGTCCAGGGGTGGGCCAAACGGTTGAACGGAGGGATGTTGAAGCTTCGAATTAATCAACACATTAATTACAAACTTGAAGTCTGAGCCAATATAATCCTTAAAATGGCCTGGAAATATAAAAGCAAAACTAACAATAGCATGAAAAAGCCTTTAATGTCAGATATAATGTTACAAAATGTTTTAAAACCGACAAAAATGATTTCCGTATCCGGAGGTTCAAATGTCGCTTACCTCTGATAAATGGGTAGTCGTTTTCAGTTATACGAAGACTGAGAAATGAAAAACTTTTGAAAATGAGTGGAGTCCATTCATTATGTCTAAAATTTCATGTCTGCCAAAACGCTGATCGCATTAGAGGGCATCTGCCTCGTTTTCAAAGACCTTCAATGCTATTTATCTGTTAATCGCTTCTGAACTTGTCAATTTAAGGCGTCATTTGAAATGTAAATTTTTAGTGAAAGGAAATTTCCGTCGATTTTTTTCCTGATATCCTTCAGCACTATGGATTTTGTAAACAAAATACAAATTAAATTGCAAAGAAGTTGGAAGGCAATATATTTTATCATTCTGCGGGTAAACGAAAAATGATAAAGGATCATTTTGTAGATCTCGAGCGAAACCTTTCGTGATATCTACCATAATCGAGAAAAAGAGACATTTTCCAGAACCGATTTGAAAACCAGTTTGAAACAAAATGATACGTACATTCACACGCTCGGACAAAATGATTTGAATTTCCTTTTCTCTGCGAATTAGCTGTCAAATGAAATTTTGGAAATCTGACTTGAATTTGAAGTAGATATATGCAAATAGCAAGGAACGAACAGGAGATTACAGAACTTAAATGTATTATGCCGCCGTTGAGTTTCAGATCCTTTTAAAAGATAAAACACAGATTGTTAAGAATTCAATTTTTGGTCATGTTTTTTGCTACAATTTCCTTCATAGAGAAAGATGTTTTTTGTCTTGTCATGAGTATTAATCTCCTTCGCAGCCGTTGTTTGGGTTCGTCACGCAACGCTCCCTCCCCCACCGTGACGAGCCCAAACAACGGCTGCGAAGGAGACTACATGAGCATGGGACAAAGGGAAAAATTCGGAATACCCGCGAGGAATCGAACTTTAGACCTTCGGATTTCGCGCTCCTCCATTTTTTCCTTTTTTATTGTTTTTTTTTTTTTTCTCCCTTACCTTTTGCATTCTTATGACTGTGCAACACTGCCTAAACCAATCATGAGCCTGAACTAAGCAATATTTAAAGCCATCGGGCTTGTATTTCTTATTTTCGGCACCCACGATAAAGAAATGGCACGATTAATAGTTAGCGTAGTCACTTGAATTCGAGTGCAAGTAGGGATGAATCAGCACGCGGAGCCTGCCTCACCATTGGCTGAGCTCCCAGAAGAAGCGCAATTTGCCCTCTGATAATTACACGACTGCTGATTTATCTCAAATTGCACGAAATAAATCATTTGAATACTTGTTGATAATACACAATTCTGTCTCTAAATGCAAGCATGACCTCTTTTTCCTTTTTTTTTCTCTCATCTGAACTGGCTTCGATCATATCTGTATTTCAATGACGATGCTTGCAATTTTATTTTTTTCGTTGGTATGTTATTTGTAATTGTTTACATGGTAACATTAGCTGCTTCTATGGATCCCTATAACTATAAAAAAGTTCACACCCCGTGTTTAAATTTAAAGTCTGACTGTACATAATCGTGTTTATTTTCAGGCCTTGTCCCCGCAATAGCCCTGCTTTTCACACAACAACTTTCTTCGTGCCCTAAAACTCCATGGCGCCAGTAATCCGGCGAGCGTTTGTACTCTTTCTCGGTCAGGTATCCGTCAACTAGCAGGAACCATTTCACGAAGATTATCAGGATCATAATTTTCTCCGTCTTTTTTCGAACTGTTGCGTAAAACTTCTCAAGAGCTTCGGTCAGGGCCTGCAGTTACTCTATTCCAATACTTTACTCATTGTCCTTTCGAGGAGCTCATAACCTCTTCCCGGAGATCACTATAACTACTTGGGCCCTTGCTTTTTTTAAGAGCTACTTATGCTTTCATTTTTAATTCACACCTCGTTCCTCTCCCAATTTCTTTGAAAAAACGAAAAACACAAGTTGTGAATCTTTTAACTCAGTGCTTGTAATTTGTAATATTTTTGTTGTGGTTGTTGGAACCAGAATGTATGCTCAAACGATCACAAAGTTAAACGCGTTGGGTGGTTGCGTCAAATAACTTCTCTTACTTATATGTAGTCAACACATCGACTGAGCAAATTTTTATCTCATTTTTGTTTTAAACAAAAATTACATCTTCATACAGGTAAGAGATAAACAGCCGTTATGTTTTATAAAAATATGTTTACACCATCCTCTCGATCTTCTCCGTTCCATCTTGCAGCCATCAATATCATGTGAATGTCACTAGGCAGCCATTGCCATAAGACAAGCCTCTTCGCTCGTACGCGCCATTCCCAATTAAAAATTACGTTTTTTATCTATTTTCATCCAAAGCGTTGTCCTCTTCGTTAACTTAGACTATGGAAGAAGTTCAGTGTTTGTACGATTTTATATGCTTTCCACTGCGTTTTGTTTCTGTTAATTCGGTGCCGTATTCATTTTTCGACAAATTTTTTTTCCCAGAAAAGGTGGTCAGGAAACGAAATGTCATTAATTGATTTCATGCAAGCTCCTCTCTCTTTTGTTATTTCTTTTTATCATTTTCCTGTCCATCACCTATAAAGCTGTCAGAAATGTTGCTTTTAACTTGACAACTTGGTTTTGTTCTATTTTTACTCGGCATTGTTTCGTTTGCGTTTACGTAGCGACTGATCAAATACGCGCCTTGCCATAATTGAAATGACAAAATTTTTTTAAATTAGTATTTTTTCCGTTGCCATCTGAATCCGAGGAAGTTATTTCTCATCACTCTGTGACATTTGCTTTAAAAAAACCAAGGTAGTTTTCCTGTTTCCCGTGGCTTTATTTCCAAGCTGTTCGTGCTTTTCATTCATTGACCAGATTTGGTACAAAGGCAAAAAGATTTTTATCATCCGAAGCTAAAAGTAATAATCGCAGACAAACAAATTCACATCATACGCTTATCGACAAAGAGACGGAAATCGACTTGACGCTTCGTTCTTTATTTGTCAGGTAGGCATTTCAATCATGTTGTATCAGTAAAAATTACTTTTGGCAAATTTTCTCTCAATATTTATATAAGATTGCTTCATATATGCGCTTTTGCTAAAAGGCAAATTAACTTTGATCCTGTAGCGCGGATAGTCTCTTAAAAAAAAATGAGTACGATAAACTCTTGCGCAATATCATCTTTAAAAGGGAAATTTATCTTAAAAGTAAATTTATGGAGCGTGCCAATATAGAGATTTGGGTATATAGCTTAAAATAAATATTTTGAATTTTGACCAACAGCGTCTTTGTGATAAATGTTAATTATCAAAAACCGCATTCACCAGTAATCTTACCATTTGTGTCATTTGTGTTGCAACTAACCGCCTCCCGGTTAGCTCAATGGATAGAGCGCTGGACTGTTGTGCGGGAGGTCGAGGGTTCGAGCCCCGGCCGGACCAACACTCAAGGCTTTAAAATAATTGAGAAGAATATGCTACCTTTTCTATGGTTGGATATTCTAGTCTTCTCGGATAGGGACGAACAAATGGAAGTCCCGTCTCCCACAGGGTTAGGGTTAGGAGACGTTAATTTCCCACGCACGAGATCACTGTGAGATGGATGCCTAGGGTGGGATGCCTGGGGTGGGATGCCTGGGATGGGATGGCTGGGGTGGGAT